GAGGGAGGTCTGGGCCTCCCTTCTGAAGCTGTTGCCCCCGCGACCCGACCCCGGATAGGCGGAAGAAAATGGATGGATGGATGTTTTTTATTTATTTATTTTTTTCTAAATGAGCAACAGAAACTGTTAAGTGTTTCACTGGTAGCTATACATTTTTTTAAATCAAAGCTGTGCAGGTTGGGGTCATTGTTTAGAATGAAGGTTCGTGCTTTAGTTGAAAGATACCAACTTGGTGGTCAATGAAAGATAAAACTTTGTTATCAACTGGAATGTTGGACATGAAAAGCTTGTTAAAAGCTGCAACTTTTATTCATAAAAGCTACACATCACCTCTTTATGACAAGAGTTGGATTAAATTTCGCTACATTTTATTTTTATGCATTAAATCTGGTGTGCAGACTGCAGCCAGAATGGGCTTGATCATCCCTCGGTGGACATGTCATTGGAGGATGGCTCAGGGATCTTGGTAGATGGATTTGAGAGGACCTATGATGGCAAGCTCAAGTGCCGCTACTGCAACTATGCTACCAGAGGCACAGCACGGCTCATTGAGCACATACGGATTCACACAGGTAATCGTTTAGTTGTTTGTAGAGGGTAATACTGCCTTTAAATGTTTGTTTAATGGGAAGCACTAACAAGATGTGCCTATTGGGTCTGACTTTCACTGACAGGAGAGAAACCTCACCGCTGCCACCTGTGCCCATTCGCCTCAGCATATGAACGCCACCTGGAAGCCCACATGCGGTCACACACAGGTGAGAAGCCGTACAAATGTGAGCTGTGCTCCTTCCGCTGCAGCGATCGCAGCAACTTGTCACACCACCGGCGTAGGCGTCACAAACTCCTGCCCATGAAAGGTGCTCGGTCACTTACCCATAAAAAGATGCTGAGTGTTCTACAGAAAAAAGCAAACTCATTGGGATATGGCCGACGGCTCCTCATCAACTTCAGCCCCCCTTCTATGGTCGTGCACAAGGCTGACAATGTAAACGACTTCTCCCACGAGCTGCCACATTTACGCCAGGAAGCCTACGATAATCCGAGTCGAGCTGTTGAAGAGGAGCTTTCTGCAAATCAGAATCACCATCACCACGATATGGTGATGGATAACCCCCTGAACCAGCTGTCCACCCTGGCAGGCCAGTTGGCCAGCCTCCCATCAGAGTCCCAGGCACAGACTCAGCCCCCCATGTCTCCAGGAACAGAGTCTGTTGTGGACGAAAAGCCCTTCCTCATACAGCAGCCGCACCCAGCCACTGCCCCCGTAGCCATCACAGCCAGCATGGCCCACGCTTCTTCTTCCTCCCCCATCACCCCAGAGCCCAGGGCCCCCCCGCACAGCAGCTGCAGTCCCGGTGGTGGGCCGTGCAGCGAGCGCACCAGCACTCCCAGTGTTTCCAACAGCCAACCCAGCACACCGGCCCCGGGCCCGTCCGCTCCGCTTCAAGACCCACACATGCTACATCACTGCCAACACTGTGACATCTATTTCCCCGACAACATCCTCTACACCATCCACATGGGCTGCCATGGCTACGAGAACCCTTTCCAGTGCAACATCTGTGGCCACAAGTGCAAAAGCAAGTATGACTTTGCGTGCCACTTTGCACGTGGGCAGCACAAGTAAAGTTTCTTATTCTTTGAAAGAACTTTGAACTAATAACTTGAGGGTTTTTTGTTTTATTTTTTGCATAGTAATTTTATTTATTGGTCTTTACCTTGGCCTGTATGTAGCTTAGTATTTTAAAGTTGTACTTGCACAGGATTATGTTCAGATGGTTTATTATATATAACTAAAAGTGCCCATTCCAGTATACTGAAAAAGGATGATCAGTGTTTTTTGACAGTTTGAGAATTTTTTTGTGGTATGCCATAAATATTGAGAACCACTTCCTGGCTTGTATGCATAAATAAAATCTTAAAAGTTCAATACATTTCTAATGTTGGACCTTAAATAAGTTATATTTACAAAAAATCAAACTTGTCAAGTGAACCAAAACCATAAAAAAATACCTAAAGTAATGTTGCAAAGACTGTCTGAAAACAGATTGGTTGAAACGTGCAGGAAAAACTGACAAAACTGCAACTAATAAAGTTGCTAAATGAAGATTTTAACTGACTAAATTTGTATAAATATATTAAATTGCACAACCTATGCTTTCCAGAGTTACAAGGGAAAAGCCTTATCACATGTTTTATTTGGTTGTCAATACAGTATTTCTGCAGAAAATAGAAATGATAAAATTTCAAAAAGAGATCCAATTTTTACGTCTGTGACAGCACCACAAAAATATATTCTCAATGCCGCTGAAGCTACTTTTACCTTTTTCTCAGATCCGAATACAAATTGAAACAGTTGACCTCGAGTGATCTCACTTACCGTAAGCCTTGCTGAAATGATTTTAGTGCTATTTCTTTACAGTGCCTGACATTGTCACCTTCCTGTGAGTTCAAGTTTGAGATGACTGTTATTTAGAGTTATTAAAACATTCTCTTTTAACCACAACAGCTATAAATTCAGCAGAAAAAAAAACATTTGGCTGTCATTGTTTTAATGTGGTAGCCATGATTTTTATTATTAATTTTTTTTGTGTTAAAATTCTGCTCGGTTCTGCTAAGAAATTTTAGAGTCAATGCCAGCTCCTCTATTAAAATGGCATCAGCAGTTACAGCTGGCCAAACCGTGTCAGCCACTTTGTGTTCTTTGTTTCATGAAGTGCACTACTGTCATAAAATTATACTTTATTTAGATTGAAAGGGTTTTATCCTTTTACTTACATCATTTCATCTTTGTATTTTTTTTTGTTTGTTTTTTGTTTTTATATTAACCGAAGTCGTTTTGATATCCAGTGCCTCTTTATTTAGGCAAATCAAATTTTATGTCTTGTGACTTTTTCAGGATTGCCACGTAGCACKGAGGTTGCCATGTTTGAGCCTTTATAACAACTCAGACTGAGACTTTCCTTTGATTTTATGAATCCCAGTGTTTTTATATATATAATATTTACTGAGTATTGTATTCTGAATGGTTTTATAGATGTTCAGTGTCAGAAAAAAGCTAAATCATAAGACTGCTACGTCAGTGGGGTTGTTGTTTGTCTTTGGGCACTGTTGTCTGTTGCTTTGCAACATGTGTAGAGGATGTAGTTGGTTTTAGGAGCCCCTCCTTGTTAATGATCTTTAACAGTAATGGGACACTCAGTAAAGGCTGCCTTATATGTTCTCAATGTGTCGTAGGTTCATAGGTAACGGTGAATGTTTCCGCCTTTTGGCGATCACCATCTTTCTGAGCTGAGATGGTAAATCATTTTATTGTGAAACTGATTACTAATTTATAAGTAAAGTGTTTTCTATCTGAACTTCAGCGAGTCTTTCTTTTCTTTTTGTTGTGTATTTGACATAATGAYACAAACACACAGACCGTCTTTTCATGATGCATTTAATTGGGTAGTACCGGTAAAGTCAGAGAAAGGAAATAGTCTCAACAGAAACAGCAGAAAGTTAATTAAAGCATGGCAAAGGATGATCAAGTTAGGCCTTGTTCTCCTTTTCAGGCTCCWCCTTTTCCTTTTCCTCAGAGTCTGCAAAAGGGAATAAAAAAAATTTGTCATGGTTTCTTGGAATCATAGTTTTTCTTCTACTCGTTCTTCAAGTTCTGTTTCAGTTCTAAAAAAATTACATTCAGATGCGGACTAACCCTTGAGCTTAATGGGACCCACAACCAGAGTGTGGCTGTGATGTTTTGACTCCAGCTCTCTGGCCACACGTCTGCTGCAGCCTCGGCGGCAGCGAGAGTTGCTGTCCGAAGCGGGGCATATCAGAACCTTGCACTGAATGTACACTGCTTCTGTGGCTCGCAGAAACTTAAAGGCTTTGAACGTGAAACGGGCCCGGTATGACGTGCCAGAGATGATCGACCGGTAGGTGTCATCAGCACGACATCTGAGGGTGAAACGGAGACGACTCCTTTTTAGAAATAGCTCAAATAAACCAGTAAAGGTGAGCTGCAGAAGARGTATCATCTTACCCGTCACGAACCAAATAGTATGGCCTAGTATGGAAATCAAACGGTGTTGGGGAAGTCACGCAGGTGTCGAGAAACAGGACCAGACTGCTGTCGTGCCTCCTCGTGTCCACTTGCACATACAAGTCCTGGTTGAGTGTAACCTCATATGGGACCTGAGTGACCTGGGCGCAAAAGCAAAAATACCAGCATTGTGGGMTTTTTTTTTAACAGAAATCTTATTTCCTCACCTCTTCAACYCCCACACATACCTCATAGGAGAAGCTGGGGGATGTGTAGAAAGCCATGCTGGTGTTGTATCTTCCAGAACCAGAGATGGTGCCATTACCACCATGTCTGATTTCAAACAGAATCTGGGAAACCGAGTCTGGCTCCATCAGACAGTTGACATCCATCTTAAGGTGAGTTTGACGTGTAATCTCTCCATATGTGGAGGGGTAGGCTCGAATGCTGTTTGTGTACGTTATTCTGCCTTTGTCAAGCTGTCAAAGTAAAGAATATTGCAAAACGAGAGTCAGAGTAGTTGAGAAAACACCGCTTCATTTTTTCTATAGGGCGATGAGTTGTCTTACCTTTCTGATGTTGCCACAAGTGTTAAGGGAGTAACTGAAGACCACCTGGTGACTGGAAACCTGGGGTCTGCAGTGCGGATCGTTCAGGTACAAGCTGTGGCCGTCATAGCCCAGAGAGTTCAGGTATGATCTATCGATCACGATGTTCATGTTGTCTGAGGAGCAGTTTACTCGACCTGACAAGAGAAGGAATTAACTGTTCAAACACAGCAACTGAAATGTTTTTAACAAGTTGTGAGAAAATACCCTCCTAAATTTTAGCCTCTTTAACAGTGTATAATTTGAACATTTGTTTACAACAAAAATTGTTTAACAGACATTGGAAGAAATTCCAGAAATATTTTGGGCATGACTCCTGATCCCCTGAGGATGAAATCCAACTGACTTTAAAGGAGACACATCATGCTTTTAAATCCTTCCTTTTCACATAAAAAGGGGTAAATATTTTCCAGGCACATATTTAAACTCTATACCACATTCAAGTAACGATGTTACCTTCAGTTTTTTGAAAATGCTGAATATATCAAAAATAAATTTGACTTTGCATCATAGCCTATTTAAATGCCTCAGAATTGGCCTATATCTCTATAAGAACCTCTTACCGTTTCTGGCATTCCCACTTTAGCACATCTTTACAACAATGCATCAGGGCATGAGTTCCAAGGAGGAGCTTAAAATACCCCCCATTTAAATCATTCAGATGGAGTCTTTATGAAATGGAACTGAAATGCTTTGGTCTGAAGTTCTTGTAACTAACTCCACAAGCCCCTCTGTCACCACGTTTCTGAGGTGTGTCTCAGATCAAAGATCAAAACTTTTTTTTTTTCTTTTGGTCTACAAGAAACATTTATCACAAATGCATTTCAAAACTGGATGTTTGATACATTTAAATAATTTAATTGTACCTGAGCTTGGTTTCAAAGAGCTCATAAACTCAGCAAGGAAGCCTCGGCCAACCACAGAACCGTCCGTACGGAAGAGCACAGTCATGTAGTTGGAAGTTGACGTAAAAGTGCTCAGACTGTTGTTGCACACTTTCCCCAAATATCGTGAACTAACAGACGGCCCATCATAGATTGAAATGTAGTCACAGGAGCAGCAGTTCTCCAGCCTGTTTGTAAAATACGCCATGAAATGTTGTGAATATTGAATAATAAATGGAACAAAAACTGGGCAATTGAATATATTTATCTATACAGTCTGAAGTTTTGTTTGTAATTTCCTTTATTTTTCCCTTTTTACTTCGTTTTTTTTAAAACTCACTGTAGGTATGTGAATGCCAGGAAGATTCTTTGGTCGTTCGCAGCTCTGAGCTGCCAAACACAGTAGGCATTGTCAGGGTAGTAGTTGGGGTGATTAGGGCTCGAAAATGTGCCAGAACCTGACAAAGAGCCTCCACAGGAACCCACTGCAAAAACACACCATGTTACTGCCATAAATTAAATATGCATCATATTAATTCTGCAGAGGAACAGTCCTACCTGAAGGTGTTGAGGATGAACAGTAGGCTGTTAAAAACAGAAATACGTTTTTTATTTTTATTTTTTATTTTTCAGAATTTCTTGGGTAAAAGCTAGGATCCCGTTGTGTTGCTTGTGATATGATGCTTACAGTAGTAGTCGTGGCAGCAGTTCCCGTTGTATTGACAAGAGCTTGAGCAGGAGCAGCTTCCAAAGTGTCTGCCACAGTTGTAACGGCATGTGACCCACTCTGTGAAGCACAGAAATAGTTAGTTGCTCTCTCAGAAGAATAAATGACAGGTTGTTTATAGCTGCAGAGTGTTTCGTACCTGTGGTATGGTGAGCAGGTGGGTAGGTGGTTTCATAGCAGTAAGCTAAGAGAACAGAAATAAAAGGCAGCCTTTCAAGACCGTGCGTAAAATACACAAAAATTTTAATACATTTTACTTTTGTTTAATTTAATAAATTTTACATTTCTTTGCTTATTGACATGAGATAAGTTGTTTGTTCTAACAAACTAATATCCTCATTGTAAGTCAATGTGAGTGAGATTGATGTTGTTGATATAGCACTTACGATAATAGTCATGACAACAATTTCCCCTGTATTCACATGAACTTGCGCAGGAGCAGCTTCCCATGTGAGAACCACAATTGTGACGACACGACGGCTGAGCTAAGAAACACAGCTGTGGTTACACATCAAGCAATAAAAAAAATGAAACACTTAAAAGATAAATCAGATGCAATTCAACATGTTTTTTGTACCTGTGGTTGATACTGGATAAGAAGTTGTTGGGCAGTAATCTAATAGACAAAATAGATTGAGTGGTGATAGACTGATTAATACATAAATAACACATCGAGCCAAAGAGAAGCAATATTTGTCTCATTGTCTGCAAACTGTGATGCTGTTATTTCAGAGACTGATTGCCAACCAGATCCAGCTGGTCTTACTGACTTGGGCTTGGCACTTACAGCTAAAGTCATGGCAGCAGTCGCCATAGGACTGACAATAGCTTCTGCAGGAACAGCTTCCCATGTGATAGCCACAGTTGTATCGACATGATGGTTGACCTGGGGGGAAAAAATACCATGAATTGTTTTAAAAATGTCAAAAATATTTTACATTGACAAGTGTGATTGAAATGTACACTGCCCGTCCGATGACAACGCAATGCCACGAGATAATTATAGAAGTAATTTCCATGCAGAGATTGTTGATTGTTTACATGAACAAGTTTGAATTAATTTAATTTAATTTTCATATATGAATGAATGGCCTTACTTCAGTCACTTGCATTTATTTAAAGCTCAATACACAAACCTCGCACCCTTGCTGCAGGAGTCCGAGTTATGTTCAGGAACACAGTAAAAAAATCTGTTTACTGACACACACTTAGGGCGTTCAATGTCATCTCGTAAATACTAGTACTATGAAAATGAACCCTTTAGATCAAACCATGGAGGCATGTAAAAACAACATATATAATCTGACTCTAACAATGTCAGTATCTCTCTCAAGGAGACACGGCTGCTCAAAATTATAGTCATGGTCACGCGTTATCTTGTGGGCACATATTAACTTTTTTATTTAATGTCACTGCGAGTGCTTCATAGAATGCTACTTTCAGAATGGTATTAAAATAGTTGGATTTGTACCTGTGGTATGATCTGGTTCACCTGTTGTAGCCGGTGGTCCAGATGTGGCTTGACAAACTTCTGAAATGGAAAAATTAAGGATGACAGATTTAAATGAATGAAGTTCCGGTCCATCTTTTTATTACTGTCTTCTTAATTTGTAACCATTAAGATGATTTAAAGCACTTACCCTGTAATCTAAAGGGAATGCATTTATTTTTCATCACGGCTTACCTCTATAGTCGGCACAACACTTCCCCCGGTATTCACAACTTGAAGAGCAGGAGCAGCTTCCAACCTCGTAGCCACAGTTATTCTTACACAAACCTTCAGCTTCAGAGACAGCAGACAAGAAGTTTTGGTGTAAAAGGAGACACACCTGACATCTTGTAAAACACCTAAATACCTACCTACAATCCTGTAGGTTGCATAGAATCCTGTGCCTGTGACTGAAAAGTCACTTCTGAAGGTCACAGTTAAATATTGGCTAGTAGAGTAGAAGACGATTCTGTTTGCGCTACAAGAAGATCCCAGTAACCTGCTTCCAGTGCTGGAGCCATCATAGACACTGATGTAATCAAAACTGCACTCAGTGCTGTGGGGGGAAAGGGAGTTTAGCTTAAAATGCACAACAAAAACAGCAAACGTAATCACCGTCTGCATATAATGACTATTTTACTTACTTTACATTAAAGAACTCCAACTCAATGATTTGACGGTTTGGTCTAATGTACCAGGTGCAGTATGCATTGTTTGGGTAGTGGCTTGGATAGTTGGGACTGGAAAATGAGTCACTGCTGCTGTACAAGTAACCACCACAGCCTAGAAAAAATATACAGCAACAATAAGTCAGACCTTTCAAGGAGAATAGACAATAAATCAACTTTAGGGGGATATTTCAGATTCATAATAGATTTAGAAGTTCAAATTTGTACCTGCGCTAGTTGTGGCAGTTTCTTGTGTTGTCCATCCTATTGTCCAACCTGGTTGTTCATAGAAACAAAGATCTCAAGTCAGTGACAGTAAGGCTACCAATCGTAGAACTACAAAATCTTTGAAACTTTTCAGCGTAAAAGCACATTTTGTAGACTGCTGCTAAAGTACGAAATATGCTTTGGAGGAAAACAAGACACCAAGAAAAACAGAACAGTGAACCGTACCTTGTGCTCCATGTGTGATGAACACACTGCAAAGAACGAAGAAGGCCCACATGGTGAATCCGTTCAAGTTGGTTCTGGTCCTGAACAACGCAGCTTATATAGTCAACGACTGACTTATAGCACCCATAAAGTACCTGATGTCACCGCATGTCYAGGGGGAAATATTACACTGTAATTTCTGTGCATGAGAAGCACACAGCTGCTTCAATATAATAAACTGGGATTATTTACGTCAAGTTTCAGGATGTGTTTGAAGGTATTTGTCTAAGTTGAATTTCATGATGGGTTTTGGGGGAACTTATGCWCTTGAATCAGAAAGCACAAGAAAAATCTTAACAGAAGATTAACATTTGTTTTGGCCAAAAAAATAAAWAAATAAATAAAAATCAGCTAAAGCTGCTGTCAGCTCACACCAATTTATCATATTTTTATGAACTAACAGTTTATCCACTAAAATAATTGTAATTTTTATTTGAATGTTTCTGCAAATTTATCTGTCTAGAAGTCTTGAAAATTGTTTTCTTTTTCCTGCATTAAAAGTGCTCACACTGATAATTTGTTGAATTCTGAATAAATATTTTGCCTTTCATATGATATAGCAATATTTTTGCCATTTTATTCAATCAAATAATAATGTGTTTAATTTGAATAAAAACATCTGAGAGTAAAAAAAAACTACAAACCGCAATGAAGTAATTTTATTAAAAAATGTCTAATTTAATTTAATTTAAACTTAAATTCAAAATAAAGTTTCTATTTTTCCCCTTATTGACTTTTCGTTTACCATTATCAGCTGTTAGTATTACAGCAATAATGCCTGTAAAATAATCAACCAGACGTGGTGACGTTTATCTCCCTTATGAAAGAATCTACTGTATCCTGCCTTGTTGAAACAGGTGGGCTGTTTCCACAATAAAACCATGAATGTTGCCTTTAATAATACTTTTTTTACACAGCTGGATTTAAATCAAGTCAAACATATAAGAAGGGGTAGGTTTCTTCACAGAACAGCTGATACAAACAGATGAGACATAAAAAACAAACATACCTGTTAGAAAATCTATTCTGAAATACTGAAGGCAATATTTTTAGATGTTATAATAAATGATCATCAGGTCTAATAAAATCAGGATTAGAAACTGTAAGTGAAAATTGTTAATTATTTTATTTTGGTTGGCTTAAAACTGCAAATGTGACTTTCAGGTATTAGATTCTCTGTCCTTAAGCTATTACACTATTTAACTCATCAGCTGCTTCTTTCAAGTAAAAAAAACAACAAAACAAAATTCACGGTAAGGTTGTGTGACTTCAGCAGGAGCACGGATGTACTCAATTTATCATRGCAGCTTTCTGCAGCCTTTAATTAGAGGGATATTACCTCAATATACTCAGAACAAATTCAGGTTTCATTCTTGATAACATTGTGAGATTCATAGTGTTGATTGAAAGATCCTAAACACGCATTGTCGCAGTTGAGTTCTCCCTCTTTGTCAGCAGTTTGATCATGTTGGAACATTCTAGATCACATGTCAAAGTGAAGGCCCGCAGGCCAAATATGTCCTGTTATGGCGATTTATGTGGCCCACGGGAGCTTCAAAGAAGGATCAATATCTTAAAATAAGCATATGCTGCTTTAAAGCCAGCATTGACCATAAACRATATCTCCCAAAATGCATGTTTATTATTTCACCATTGACACTATCCCACCACTATGATGCACAGGGTTAAAAGTAGCCAGCAGAAAGCACACACCATGCAAAATTCTCTTTTTCACTGCATTTTTGTTGGATACTTTTGCTGCGGCCCAGTTGTACTGGGAAGTGGGAATTTCCCATTTACAAGTTTTAAATTTAAACCCTCCAGAAGGAATTCTCTGTCAGAAACTGGGAGAGTTCAGAATTCTAGAAGGCAGCTACTCACCACAACACAACTGTGAGTAAAACTCTCCTACTTTTACTATTAATAGTATTTCTGTATRATTTATTTCACATTTGGTCAGTTGTCCATGTATTACTTTTCAGTGTTTATAAGAGAACATTTTAAAATGCTGTTTCTATGCAGGAAATAGGCTATCACATGGAACTCAGTTATTGTTTGTTAGCTGTCCTCAGCCATGTCAAGGAGACGAGAAACATGTTTAGTCAAAGTTAAATACAAAACATCGAAGTTCATTACAGCTGGCCCTATGTGGGCCACCATAACGCTCATGTGGCCCTTAGTGAAAAAGCGTTTGACACTTCTGTTCTTGATGCATAAAACCAAGTAAGCTGTGTGTGTTTGACTGTGACCTCCTACTTTATGGTCCCTTAGTAATACTGCCATAAACTTTTTTATTTACACTGAACTGCAAAAACCTTATCGACTGAACAAAAAGTATCCAAACAGAGGAAAAAAACACTCTCTTGTTTCGTATTTACTGTTTACAAAATGCTTTTAGGAAACTTTGTGTTCACAGGCCCACTTAAGTTACCCCCCACCCCCTTGATTAATGATGTTCCACAAGTCCACAGTACAATAAATACAGAAAGGACCACAAATAAATAAATAAATAAATAAATAAAAATTTCTGAAACAGAAAATGACATCACCACCCAGTATCAGGCTGTGTCATCACCAGGAAAAAAACACCAGTTTTTACTGTTATGATAAAAACAAAGTAAACTGTGTTCATGTTTTGTGAAATATGTTGTTTTTGCTCATCATGTTTTTGGGGAAAAGTCAWTGAGTTTGCATTTCAGGGCAACATAGTTTGACGTTGGCTTGTTGAGGCCTACGTTAAGGAAAATTACAAAAAAACATAAAACACACACCCTGTACACTGAGTCACCCCAGTATTTGTAAAAAACAGTACAACAATATGATAAAATTTCAGTGAGGCAATATTAAAAGTTGGATAACACCAACGAGCCTCTGGTTCTCACTTCACTGGATTGACCTCATACTTAACCCCTCTCATTTTCCTATCTTTCATTATCTAATAATCTCTATAGCAGAAGTCCATCAGCACAAAGCGGACTGTGAGTCATGACAGCAGAGCCCCCAATCAATAATCCTTGAGTTAATCTGTGACAAGTGTATTAGCAACACTGCTGGGTTTAAAAAGAGAACAGAGATGTCAAAATCTCACTCTGAAACCTTGCTCAGCAGCTGCAGACATACAAGGTAAGAGCTAATTTGACTTTATCTCACATGTAAATCATTGTTTGGAGTCCTTTCATAAACTGGATAAATCTATCAAGACCAGAGTTGTAAAGTAACTAAGTACAAGTACTTCTTTACTGTACTTAAGTAGAATTTTTGGGTATCTGTACTTTACTTGAGTAATTATTTTTCAGCCTACTTTTTACTTCTACTTCTTATATTTTCACACAATTATCTGTACTTTCTACTCCTTACATTTTTAAAAAAGGCAAGAAGTAGAAAGTCGTTACTTTTATTTCATTTCTGCTTGTTTTCATTCCAGCTTATTGAAAAAGATAAATACTATCCATATAAATTGTGCCTCCTAGATAGAGTGAATTTAATTGTGGTTGAAGGAAAAGTATAAATATATAAAATTCTGATACCGTATTAGTTTGTACA